TGGAAGTCAATAAAAAATAGGCGAGATAGGTTGGTAGGACACCTTCTCAGGCATGAAGGTCTAGTCAGAGACATATTAGAGGCAGAAACAGGAGTTAGGAGGGGTAGAGGTAGACCTAGATTAGATTACTGTTAGCAAATAGTTAAGGATATGGGTTGTTCTAGTTTTAGGAAAATGTGAAGATTAGCTTAGGATAGAGTAGAAAGAGTTAAGGTGCGTGTCCAACCAGTCTTAGGACTGACGACCTTATGATGATGATGATGAGTGAATTTCATTTGTTTTAATTATTGAAAAATCCTGTTGCCACCAATAATAGTGGCCTACTTTAATATTTTGAAACACAATGTATTTAAATGGGATATTTTATAATATAAAATAGAGAGTTTTAGTGTTTCGAGAGTGTTGCTCTGCATTTATCTAATAGTAAGTATCTGTAATTATTGATTTGCTTCCTTCCTTCCATTTCGACGCGTCAACCTGCTGACGGTATTTCGTTTAAAAACTGTCAACAGTCTACAAATCAACATTCACTAATTGTTCCCATAGGGATTTTTCAAATGACTGCTCTTAAGAAGATTGTTCCAATTACTCATCGGTAGAAAACAATCTGGGTTATATTTCTAATCCCCTTTTGTTTCATTCAATGTAGTTTTTCTAATGACAGAGTTGATTGCCTTCCCTTTAATTTTAAAACAACCTCCTATTTCAAATATTGCTTATATCTGCTTATTCTTTCCAAAACTTATATCTTTACTGACTTTAGCGGTAAAAAAAGCATTTCTACATACTATAATAGGAATTACTCTTTCCTTTAATTTCAAAAAAGATACAAAAGTTCATGCTAAAACGAACTCTCCAAACCGCAGGTTTTGAGCTTTTATGGTTTAGATGCTGTTTGGTCTTAATCAAAAAGCTTTAAAATGGTGTTTCCTTTCAAAAACAGTTGAATATCTCAAAAACTACTTAAAGAACTTTTAACAAAGTCTAGCTAAATTTAAACAGAAAAACAAAAAATGTAACAATATATAATATATATCCATTAGCTAGCTTCCAGAAGAAATGACTGAAAATATTTTTCTGTGTACGCACCATATGATTCCAGACCTTCTTATAGAAGTATTTTTTTTTTAAATGTATAATAACAAAGTTATGGACCAAATGGAACACCCTGTATACTGTTTAAGTGGGAAGTATTTCTCAAAGAATGCAGATAATAAGTGTCAAACCATCGGCTATTAAAATACAATTTCTGACTTACCCAAAACGGTAAAAGTCCCTTTTCTTTATCCATTTTGATGCCTTCATGCAACCTTTGTCCACGCATTGATAAGTTTTCGTCACTCTCTATAAACCTCACGTGTACCAAACCAATAAGGGCTGCCTTTTCTACACTTGAATGTGCTTGATCAGAACAGTATGCAACCAATCTGGAATTGATATCTGCAGCTTCACACTCGGGATACAGTTTTTGATATTTTCGGATCGCTTTAGTTCTTCCCGCCAACAGACACACCAGGGTTGATTCACTTGCCGTTGTCTAACAAAAAAGATTATTCCAATCATGAAAACCCAGTTTTGGTAAAAAGTGGAATCATGCTGTTCCTGATTCGGGTCTAAAGGCATTTGAGTGGCGAACTTCTTCAGCCGGATCAGACATTGGAAATAGAAGGATCTGGAAGGACCCCTAAAGAAGCCACTCGTGCTAGTGAAATGTTAAGAGGCAACTTCAACAGACGACGGCCTTTAGGCTCGAATCAGAACAGCATTAATTCACCTACTGGCCATGAAAGTCTTTACTAATTTGTCAAAAAGTAGAATCATGTAGAATTTACAACACCCACCCATAAAACTGCTTCAAATATTGCAATGCTATCAACTGTAACTGTAAGATTATATACACCAGCTAAAAAAGGTTGACAGCATTGTGAAATTTTTTTTTACATTGTGGTGTCAACTTCAGAAGCTGATATCGTAAACTCTGCATCTAATCACAGTTTAACAAGAAAATAGACATGAAATTTACCTGTATTACACCACCACCTGGAGAATCTTTATGTAAGTGAAGAAAATCTTCAGGTAATCCAATCATCTTCCCCAACCAATTTGTTACAACCGTTTCGAGCTCCGTACAAGCTGGACTTGCAGCCTAAACAGAGAAAGGAATTTTATCAAATTTTATTTTTTGACAATTGAGATCCGTCAAATGGGAGGAGCCTAAAAACATGGCGTCGATTAGGGAAAATTTATCGTAGTTCCTATAGTGTACCGTGCAAGTAAGTTTTTAAATTACGATAAAATGATAAGTATTGACACAATATGTGATTGGGCTGACACAAAGCCTCGGAAAGGAAATTTCCTTGAAGGTGAGCGTGTTTTTAATGCCAATCACATTATAAAATTTGGAAATAACAAATTCCGTCAAGTTTACTGCCTACTTTTTACAAACTTCGGATTTAAAAAGTGATTCACGTTATATAATTGGTGAGGTGATTCTGGGTGATTTAAGCAATATCATATCAATAACTTACACGTGCAAAACCGATTTAAGAGAACGTTGCAAACACATTATTGCAACTTTGTTGTATTGCAGCAGGTAGGTTCTTAGCCTCAAAATACTTATATCGTATCATTAGAATTGCATATAAATAAATAATTTCTCATTTTATAATTTTAGTATGATTCTAGTTGTAAATATTAAGGTTATGGCTGATGGTAAATACTTGCTGAAATATAATCATGTGCATTAAAATGACGTGAACAAATTTTTATTCCGGAATTCACTTCTTTGATACCTACTGCTTTCATCCAAGCTTCTATTAGTTTACTTTTTTCTCTAATTTTCCGAATATATTTTTTACATATATAAAACGGTTAGTTTTTATTGGAAAGTAGTTAATGTAGGTGAAGAGTGAAGATCTATGTCTGAAGTGCTATTGCAGCTTTTCACTGAACATATTAACTTTTTATTTGATTTAACTTAAGAAGAAAACTTCGTCGACTCCATCATCAAAAAAATTTTTACTTTTTCAACGTGTTTTACAATTTAAATAAACAATTTTACAATTTGCGTGCACAGTTCCTATTTTTCCCTCATTCGAGTTATAAATTTTGCCACCAGATGGTGTATGCCCATTTGACGGAACCCAATAGCGTCAGTTTATAAAATGTCATAAAAAGGTAAAATATAATAAGTAGTAAATTCTTTGTGAGTATATGGCCACGTGCATAAAATGTTACTGTGGAGTTCCTAAAAAGCTCGTCGTAGGAAATTTCAGATATCGGATAGTTTTAATTACGTGCGGTGAATGTCAATGGGACAAAGATGACATATACTGCGGCTGGTGCGATTCTGAATTGACCCCAAAAGGTGAAGCTGAGGCACTATACGCTGCTAAAACTCTCAAGGAAGCTCGGTACAGATTCGACTACGCATTCACTTCAGCTCTTTCAAGGGCCCAATCGACCCTTCGTATTATTCTGGATGAAACAAAACAAATCAACACATCAACACATTCAACATGGTATCTGAACGATCGTCATTACGGAATTGTAACCGGAATGAACAAATACGAGGCTGTTCGCAAATACGGACTAGAATCCATTTGTTGCTGGGACCAAACGTATCAGAGTTTACCGCCACCCATGGAGAAGGACCACCCGTACTACGACCAATTAGTGAATGACCCACGATACGAAAATGATCCCACCGAAGAACAATTTCCATTGTCAGAATCATTTGAACAAGTTGCTAAACGTACACTGGTCTTTTGGAATAGGGAGATAATACCGAAAATGAAAGCAGGGAAAAGGATTGTTATCGTAAGTCACTGGGCAAGTCTGATTGGAATCATCAAATTGCTTGATAATCTTCACGAAACAGACATATTTTGTGTCGACTTGCCACGCGGTGTGCCCGTTGTCTATTTTTTGAACAGAAAACTGCAACCTGTTGAAAACGGTAGTCGAATATTATTGAGGAAAACAGAACCAAAGAAGAAACCAAATCCATGTTTACAATTCGAATAACTCATAACAATATTTAGATGCTTACAGTTGTACATAAAAATATGAATAATTAAAGTAACATGTATGCTTGATCTTGGCCAATAAAATTGAAAAACTGATACCTTATATTACGAATTTCTGACAACTTTTTCCCACGGCTCATTCATATAGAATTATGTCTACAGTCAAATCACGACAAAAAAATTATAAAGCAATACGCCTAAGTTGCCCTATGGGTAGCAAGAATCCGCACGTTTTTCTGGATTAAAATGTAGCCCTTATGACAATCCTGGACATTAACCATTTAACACCAAGTTTTATCCAAAACTATTTAACCGTTAAGACGGAATTGCATAATAAGCATCGGAACGTTCACAACTATATATTGCAAAGATGTAGGATAGATATAAGTGATTATCTTCTTTTCAAGAATATGAAGAAAAATGTTAATGATTTTAAAGACTTCTTTTGTTAACTTTACCTAATAAGTAGGTAAGTACATGTATTAAATTACACTTGAACAAATTGTGAAAAAATGAAACTTAGTGAAAAGGTATGGTGCGTAATTCCTTAGGGAGAGCATTCCAAACGGTTGGTATACTTGCAATCAAACGAGCCAAGGAGTGTTTCCAATTTGTCTATCTTATTCGTTATGATTATTTTTTTATTATGATTCGACTACAGATGTGATTCTAATATTGGAAATTATGCATGGCGTGCTGATGAGAATTAATAAATTGCCATCTACATCTGCTACTTTCGGTGGGTTACTGATCAAGAACTTAATATTATTTAATAGATAAATATAAAAATGGCTAATTTTCTTACCCATGTAAATCCTAAACAATTTATAGCATCGGCAAGCATATCTCCTAACAGAGATGGGAAGCTATTCAGTGCTGGAAAATACGCGTGCATGTGAGGGCTTTGCCAATGGGTAACTCCTGGCATAATAATTTCCTCAATGTCTTGGAAAATTCTCGACCATTTTTCCCCTTGAACGGGTGCACTTTCTGGAATTTTTTTCCGTAGATACCCCGGCTTCTGGTCCGGAAAAACTCGGCGTTTTCTTATATCACGAATATAATCAGCAATGTAATCAACCATTTCTTTTCCTGCGTTATAAATTTTAGAAACGTATGTCGATAATTAAAATATATAAATAAAACTGATTAAATAAACCGAATGCCATCTTGAGTTTCAAAAAGCAATTACTGATAATTACTCTCACTACCTATGTATAGCATTTTTGTATTTATAAAAGAAAACACTAAAGTAGTCCCAACAAATATTTATTAAAACGCCAGATACGACAGAGAAAACAAAACCAATAGCGTATTTATTGCAGCGAATTTTANTTATTAATTTATAAATTCTTATATTTAAGAGCTTTTTGGTGAAATATATATTTGAACGTTCTCCAGGTCGATGATCTAGTTATACTGAACACAATGTTCAAAAGTATCTATGTAATTATAGTATCACTGCATTCATGTTCTCTAATTCTAATATCATGGGATCGAGCGCTTTGTCCTATGTTTCAGATTATTTAGACCAGAGAACTTATATATACACCACTGATTATGTAAAGCTAGCGACTATCATGAAAAATTATTATTACTTTTGGTACCTACATTCTCTTAAAGAAGAACCAGTTAAGTCAAAAAGGCTGTCATCAAGTCAGGCTTTTTATTAAAATTTTGTTGAAACTACATACGTATAGCGATATTAATAATGTTTCGTCAAGTGTACACCTCTCTTGGTATTAATATGCTTTCCCTTAGTAAAATAGTGTTATTCTACCTATAAACATTTTAAATTGGTTTAGTTTCTTTATTTGTGCGAACAACAAAGTCGATGTGAAGCGATTGTCTATATTACCGGGAAAGAGTTGTTCATTTTCAATCAAGTTCACTTTATAGCTTTCTAAACTGAATTTTATTGCTCGAATTTACACAAATAAACTACTGGATTCGCAACAAAGAAATACGCGAAATTGAATAAAAGCACAGCAAGTGATAGTATAAGATCTCATATACAATACGTCTTCAATAACACGTTTAAAACAATTACAAAGACGGAAAGGAAGCTTTCGTCAGTCAGAGTTTTTACAATAGTATTTCAGGATTCAACTTACCCCTTATTCTGTATTCTTCTACGTCCATTCTGTAAACGTAAGTATTAATTTAGAACTTTTACTCAGAAAAGCAAGTAAAACAACAAGAGAATATGGAGAAATATTAACTGTTTAGTAGTAATTTCACTCAAATTAAATTAAAGACACCTAAAACTAACAATATTTATTTCAATCTTCTAACTATAAGTGAAGTAAATTGTATTTATAGATGTCCTTTTTTGCAGACCTTAGGATTATTTCAATTTCAGGATAACACTTAAATTTAATCTATTTTCTGAATACATGTGTATCAACTGCTATGGTTAATACTATTAATGGACATATTTCACTCATAATTTTTGTCTAAACATAATCTGCTAATAGTATTTTCTTAATGAGATAATCGCTGAATTCGATACTATTTCTAAGGATTCGATTTTCCGTTTGTCAAAATATTATAATCTCATTTGGGTAGCTAATTTTGAATAAATGTAGGTCCTAAAAATTTACAGTGAAAAACACGTCAGCCACAGAACATCACAAAAGTTATATAGACAAAAAACGATATTAATAAATTTATGGTAATTAATTAAAAAGTTCATTTTTAATAATACCTACAATATTTAGAGCTATAAGCCTAACGGGTTATACATCCCTTAATTATTTTCTTATGGTGAGTTTCTGTAGCTATATGTATAAAAACTAACAAGTATTTTCACTAGAAATACTTACGCGAAAAGTAGATTATATTACCAACGGAAAACTGACTATAGACTGAAGTCAATACAATCAACAAGTGAGAGAATCCAGCTATATATACATGTAGGGTTTCCTCCACCCCTTGTACAGTTTCGCTTCACAACCGCATTTTGTTGTCATTTCCTCTTCTTTAATAAAAGAACTAAGCCATCAGGCTATACAGAAAATTGCCCGCATCAAAAAAACAGAAATTAAAATTAAACGTTATCAAAATTATTAAAAGCAATACCTTTCCAATTCAAACTTGAAATTTCGTTATAAACTTCTTGAGTAAATTCTATTTTAAACACGGTACCTACATGAAACAGTGTTTATAAAAGTGCTTAAAATATAGTAACTGGAACTTTTCAACATAAGAGAAATACAAAAGATCGTCAAAGGCTAGTACTTACGATTAGAGACTAATGTTTATAGTTTATTACAGTTTATACAAGAGACGAGGGAATTACAGATGGACATTTCTGTTTTATTAGTTACCTCCTTCGAGGTAATGTGTAAAACGTAGCAAATCAAATACAATCTTCCAAGGTTGAAGAAAAACATCTTCAAATCCCTTAATCCCATGTGTACCTGTACTAATTACTATTGCAAACAACAAACCCTTTTACCAGCCAAGGTTACATATAGAGAAGGTTAAGTTACGTAAAGTTACCCCTCCTGCTAGGGGCATTTTCTATAGCATTTCCAAACACAAGTTAACATAACTTAGGTTAAATATGATAGGTTAAATTAAGTTAGATAAAATATCCCCCCTTACCCTAAGAGGTTTTTCCTACCCCCTCTAATAAGTGAGGCTCTAAATACAGTATTCGTCACAAATAGATTTCATTTATTACAAATTTCTTGTGGTTGTAGCGACTTCGGATGTAACGTCAAGTTCGGGTGTAGCAACTGTTTTTAATGAATCATTTGTAATAAATCCCTAGTAATCCCATGCAGATATATCTTTTGTTTAGATCCACACAGATGGTCAGCAAGTACGGTGTCCTTTATCGTTCGTTTATAGATGTTAGACGTTAAAATAGTTCAGTTACAAAGTGATATTCTAAGTAGCAACTGTTTAATAAATCTTTTGAAAAAGTATGACTCCTAGATACACATAAAAAAATGGGGTAATCGTTTGAAATTAAAAAATGGTGAAAACTATATATACGTGTATGTATCTCTATACCTTTGCCTGTAACGACTTCCGGATATAACGAAAATTACAGTGTCCCTTCGTCCCGAAATCCACTGTATATAAAACACCTTCTCCTCGATTTAATCATGTAAACTTTTCATAAATGGGTCATTCTAAGCCATCTTCAAGAAAAAAAATTAAATTTTCGAAAAGTTCGTGACAGAAATCATATCGAATACTTTTTAAATATGTCTATAAATCTCAGTAGAAACGTATCTAGAATAAGGCATTTCTACTTAAAGAAACGGGTAAAAAATATAGTTAGAATTGTACTACTTATTTTCTCACAAGAAATATGCAAGAGGGCTTAGAAAATTTTTATTAACTACTTAAACTTGACGTATTCTTAAGTATCATAATATTCGTTATCGCATCAAAAAATGGCTTTTGCACGTTCAGTACAGAAAGCTGCAAAAATAAACAAACTTATGAAGATATTGAGAGAAGAAAAGGAGTACTCTGTAAGTTTAGCGAGTGGCACCAAAAGAAAAATATCGTCCAGACTCAAACATCCTCATGCTAAACTCAGATTTCGAAGTAAAATTGGAATGTTACTTAAGAAGATATTTCCTGTTACCGAAGGCACTAAAATCAATATGTTCTTTTACAAACTAAGAAAAGACGGATCGTTTGAAAATTTTACCTTTAAAAGTTTAGTTGGATTTGTAAGCGGGATTTTTTTAACTTATCTATTTTTTATGATTTTTGTTTTCCAATTGAATATGAAATTTGGTACAGCAACTATTATGTGTTCGGCTATTGGAGGAATACTTACAATTGGACTAGCATTTAGCTACAAAGTAAGGTAAAACAAACTGCCTGTATTTATTAAAATTTGCTCGGTTTATTTATCTTAATGAAAAGAAGGAATTTTATAATTTTTTATAGTCAATACATCACTGAAGTACCAATCAGATTTCATAGTTACGTATCTATGTTAAATTTTGGACATTTATAAATTAATAGGCAAAGTTACTGCAGCGATTACTATATATGTATGTATCTATTAAAATACAGAGTGTCCAAACAAGTAGATAATTGTAAGCCTTAAACATCATCGAAATAACATCCACCCTTCCCATTTTATGTGGCTCACCTTATAACATCTTAATTTTCTCTACTCCATCAGAATACAATCAAGCCTACATCACTGTTTAGGTCTCGAATTAATTGATAGAGAATATCTAATAATCTAAATATTAAGCACAAATCAAAGTATACAAGGTCTATTCAAAAAGTATAGCGAATTTTGTGTTTTTTCAAAATTTATTTATTTATTCAAGAATATTTATTTTGTCTTGCAATTAATATTCCTTATTGACTATTCTACCCTGTAGCAAAAACTCATGATGCGCCACGCCCCTATAATCAAAGAAAACTATAAGCAAAACCTTCACATTCGACCTAACTCAGCGCACTTTTTCCGTTCTTGGCTCCTGCGGCAGCTTCCATTGGGATGATTGAGCTTTAGTTTCCACGTCATAACCATAAACTCATAATTTGGGTAGTCACGCACAGTCCAAAAGCTCCTTAGCAATTTTAGTGCGAAAATCGAATATACGTAACCCACGGAAATTCAAAATTCGCGATACTTTTTGAACAAACCTCGTATATTCAGTCGAGATCCAAACTTTCCAAGGTAAAATTTGAATAAATCATAAGAAATAATTTTTATTTGAAAATTCGTGTTGTTTCGTCCTGCAGCAGCCTGTATATACTCATATTGCCAACGTGTACATTACAAAATCGGTCAAAAGTAAAATCCTTTTACTTCAATACGCCCTAAGCTTTAAATACAATTGAGTGCCATTGACACGCGTGAACTATCGTACTTTAAACGGGATGGTATTGTATAAAAATTAATTTTTTAGTTGATGTCAGACCTATTAATGGTTTTATTGTTCTTTTGATGCAAACAAAACATTTTTAGATAAAACTAAATTCTTATTATTGTTTGATATTGTTCTGGTGCTGACTCGAACTTAATTAAGATGCTTATTAAACTAATTTGAATTTATATTTACAAAAGGTTCTTCCATTAATTCTGACTAGCTTTCATATTTGCATACATTTTCTACCGCGCTCCAGAAAGTCAAATCAGATGAATTAAAGATTCATTAGAAAATCATAAAATTAAAAACAATAATCAAATCTCATAATTAATTCTGGTGTTCAAAATATTGATGGTGTCAATATGATGAAGATGCAAACTTTTCTCATGTTGTTTGTTTCCAGATGCATTGTTCTATTGCTTCTCCCAACGTGTTTTTCAAAAAGAGGAAGGCAGGCGCTTCTGGCCTACGCATTTATTTTGTCCCTTACTGGACCTGCCAAGAATACTTTAAACAATATGGGAATTCTGAATGAGTCTCTTGCATGTGGACAGGTACATAAATGAATTACATAATTACCTCATAAAAATAAGTAGGGTGGTAGTCCAAATAGTTAGGAATATGAGAAATCTACATAATTTTAAAAGAATACGAAAATTGGATACGTTTAGAATGAATGGTTAAAACTGACAACCTTTATCATAATGACAGACTAAACGCATCAGAAATTGAAAAGAATATCAGATAGTATACTTATTTTCGACATAATTTTTGGCATTGAGTCTAAATCTGGGCCCAAAATTGCCGCAGCACGTTAGGATTTTGAGAAATTGAAAATCAATATTTTTGGCCTTTTGGAGACCAACAGTAATCGATGTGTTATTCAACAGCAAACTTGAATCTTTTTTCAGAATTGCCTTAACAACCTGAAACGTAGAGACATTCAAAAACCACAACTTAAATTATCATCGTTCAAAATTTGGGATTGAGATTTTCCAAATAAAGGCAGTTCTGATAAGTCAGATTCAAGACTGCCTCGTCGTTTTGCTTCACCTATTGACGCTCGAAAAAAAGCTGAAAAATTGAATTTTTTTTAGAAATTGAAAAAATAGTATCTCTGTTGTCAGTTTATCCATGTTGACCATGTCTGAAATTCATTGACAAGTAATTACTCACTATGATCAGATAAATACTGGCTATGTTCAAATTACAAATTAATATTTTCAGCTGTTTACAAAATTATCTGAATAAAAATATTAAACTATAATTATCTTAAATCACGCGTATACGTCATAATCATCATAAGGTCGTCAGTCCTAAGACTGATTGGACATGCACCTCCACTCCTTCCTATCCTGAGCTAATCTTCGCATTTCCCTAAAACTAGAGCAACCCATATCCTTAACTATTTGCAAACAGTAATCTAATCTAGGTATACCTCCACCCCTCCTAACTCCCGTTTCTGCCTCTAATATGTCTCTGACTAGACCTTCATGCCTGAGAATGTGTCCTACCAACCTATCTCGTTTATTTTTATTGACTTCCATAGAGTCCTCTGTTCTCCTATCTTTCTAATACCTCTTCATTTCTAACCTTCTCTATCCACGGTATCATTCGCCTGTAACACCACTTTTCGAACACTTTTAACCTTTTCTTTTCTGCCGCGCCCACTGTCCATGTTTCGCACTCGTACAGCACCGCGCTCCAAACATACACCCTTAATAATCTTTCGAATTTCTAAATTAACCGTTCGCGAGCATAAAAGTGTCTTCTTTTTATTAAAGGAAGCTCGACCCTATGCTATCCTCTGCTTTATATCCCTACTACATCCGTCCTGACTTATCTGACTTCCTAGATACCTAAAATCGGCCACTTCTTCTAGTTTTTCGTATTTAATAAAAATATCGTAAGGACATGGTCCCTTATTTTAGTCGATTCTGTTATTTAATTCATACCCACCTTTTTTTGTAAGGAGCAATTAAAAGAAGCACTCAAACATATAATTGATGCAATAAAAAAACCGTTCTATGCGATCAAAGATGCCCTCAAAACTGTTGTAAAAGCTGTTAAGAATATCGTTAAGAAAATTAAAGAAATGTTGCTTGCTATAAAGAGAATTATTTTGAGCATTGGTGAGTGAAAATATTTTTTTTGTAATCTTTGCTCCAAAAAATATATCCTTTCAGTGAATGTTATCAACGCAACCTTCCAGTTTCTAGCTAGAATATTTAACATTTGCAACAAAGAAGTGGGAACTCCATTCCAACGATGTTCAAGAGCATTCGAAGATGCTATAAGTGATTGTAATGCTAAATTAGGATCCTACTTTAGCTGGTTATGTTCTATAACATACCTGGTTCAAGGCGTTTGTTACATTGTTAAAAAGTTGGATTTCATATGTATTCTGGTTGACTTCGTTAGCAGTTCAGTTGTCGGGGTAATTATAAGAAGTAAGGATCATTTAGTTAACGAAAGTATCTTCTAAAGAAAAAATAAACTAAAATTGCTTTTTAATGGTTCAAATGGTTTAATGAAAATTCCACATTTTTTGCACTTTATACGTTTTAAAGGTATCACATGCCGAAACAATTATAGAGTTTCTATTAAACTATTTGAAGTACGAGGGCGGTTCAATAAGTACCCGTGTTTGCAGACGGAGGACGTTCCTGAAGGAAATTGGTGTTATCATCGTGTGCTGCCATCTATCAAACCACGCCAAAACGAATTTCAGACTGATTGATTGTTATTTTCGCTAAGATGGAAAAAGAGCAGTATCGTTCGGTAACTCGCTTTTTGTTTTTGGATGGAAAAAAATGCGAGGAGATGAAAACAAAGTTGGATACTGTTTATGGAGACATTTCGCCATCTACGACCACAGTTAGTTGTTGCTTCAACGAATTTAAACGTGGGCAAAGATCCGTTTTTAATAGGAGCGACCAGGAAGCCTGGCAAACGTTGTTACCGACGAAGGAAGAACGATCACTGGACAATACTACAGTGAGTTATTTGACCGCTTCGACAAAAAATTGAGGAAGACACGGACGCATCTGACGAAAAAGAAGGTGCGTTTTCAACACGATAACGCACCGGCACATTCATCAGGAGTTGTTGCCGCCAAAATGCACGAATTACGTTATGAATTTGGTGCCGCACACCCCGTACTCACTCGATTTGACTCCCTGCGACTTCATCTTGTTCCCTACCATGAAGAAATGACTAGCGAGAAAGACATTTAGCTCAAACGAGGAAGTCATCGCCGAGGCAGGGGGGATTTTGGAGAGTTCGACAAATGTTATTTTTTGGAGGGGTCAAAAAAATGGCAGGGTCGTTGGGAGAAGTGTATCTTTCTAAAAGGGGACTATGTTGAAAAATAAAAAAATAAATTTTAAAAAAAAAGGCGTCTTCCTTTCTAACACGGGTACTTATTGAACCGCCCTCGTATATAAAAGCTGATTTCGATTAGATTCGACGTATTCCAAATCATAAACTTTGAAGCTACATAACCTGCGTATCTTTAGTTTTAATTTCCTTTTTCTCCCATTAATTTTTAGGAATGAAAAACTTTGTACGCCGTATAAAAGCAATGTTTTATGTACAATTGAGATTTTCTCATTCGTTCCACTTTGAAACAAATCAGTCAAAAACAATGAATGAAATGACTGCAGGAATAGCGACAGAGTTTAAGAATCGAACTCAAAGATTGGTGCAAATATTTGATATTATGAATTGCGCAGCGTCACTATTTTTCGTTCTTGCTGTTATTAAGTAAGTTCTTCGATGAATAAAATAATTAAATTTAAAAGCCACAATTAAAAAGTTTCAATTTTTTGAAGTTATATTTCATTTGACGCGCCGAGAGTAAAATTTTTGTATGAAACAGAAAATTCGCGCGCATATCTAACCAAAATTACACAGTATAGAACCAGCAGGATTGATGCGGGTTAACCACCACTTGACTGGTTTAAGGTGAAACTGGGGCTCAGGTCTCGGAGAGTTCACCCTTCGGCCAGTTGTAGGTTATTTAAATACCGATGCTGTCCTAATTCGAGTCTAAAGGTCACATCTAGCATCGGACATGGAAGGACCTCTGAAGAAACTCACCACACATGCTAGCGAAACGTTAGGATACAAGTCCAACCGACGATGACCTTTAGACCCGAATCAAGACAGCAGCAGTTTTCAAACTGGCCGCGAAAGACTTTACCTATTTGTCCTTATTTAAATAAATACACAATTATTATTATGTACTATGTACATACCGGCTTAATAATATTATAAATATAACTTCTACATAGACAGACTACATCACTTTCTTTTTTTTCCAATTCTTTCAATTGGTTTTATATTTGAGATTCTGCTATTTCTGAAAAATATTTCTGCTTGAAGGGAGATGTACGTATAATTTTCAGTCGAAAGAGCTTGAATAAAATTTCTTTTATCTGCATTAACAACCTTTTTTATTGTTTTTTTAGAGTAATATACTATCGTCATAAGTTTTTAACAAGTGAAACGTTTGACAATAGATACATAACGCAAGATTTTCGGCAGTTGGACATGAGAAGAGCTCACATGGAGGTCGAAACTGTTTTACCCCTTAATCATAGAGAAAGAAAGAAATACGTTTCGGTACTTTTCTAAAAATTCACCTGTACTTTACTACAGGGGGTTGTAGATAGAATAAATGAGCGATTTCAGTGTCAACTAACGCTTTGATCTCTAATTATATCTGACACTCAATGATCAAAAAATGTTTTATTTAATTGATGATGAATTCAGTATAAAGAAGATGACGTCAAAGAACAGACTTGACATGGACATTGGGTCAAAGAACCTATCAGCATTTCTGTCCCGTTTTTTAATGTTACCAATGAAGGCCTTACTTATCTTGTTGTTCCTTTTTCTAAACTCTTTTATAATCAATAATTGTGACCATCCTAGAGCTTCAAGGATCTTGCCTTCAATCCTAGGGTTCCATTATTTACACTCAATTAATAACATATGAAAAATGCCACTATTTTAATCGATTTAATATCAATTGATGTAAGATGCAGTTAGAAGTCAAATAAGTTACTGGACTTCAAAATCCCCCTTCATTTTATCTATTACCTCTATATGTATAACAATTGGAATACCTTTTCTTCCCATTTTAGTCGACCTCTATAAGATTGATCAATTCCGAAAGAAAGAAACTAAGCAAAGCTGCAATGACTGTATTTGTTGCTACAATAAAAATGACTGTCTATATTTTAATAGATTATGCACTTTTTTGGACTCTGAAAATGATTCGGTACCACGCAAGATTTCAATCCAAAGTAAAAGGTAAACGATGACGTGCTTCTAATTTAATACTTTACATAATTAAGTACATCTGTAAAGTGAAGATGATAAATACAATGAGACTAATACTTGTTTGTACTTAAGCAGAAAACTTTGATCTAAATACTCATTTTCTTTTCCCTTTTTAGCCCCGAACATGCCAACGCTTCATGTTACTGGAAATGGATTCGTTGCAAAGTTACTGAGAAGTATAGTAACAGCGTTTCAGCCAATAGGATTACATATCGAAATAGATACAATACCATGTCTACCTGATCCAATCCCACCTGACTTTGATCGCTACATTCAAATAGGTTTATTCTTATTATGACCATCATCCATCATTTCTTCTAACTCACTGCTTCTTTATTAAAAGCTAGAGAAACCTACATTTCTAATTACATTCGAACAGTAATCTAATCTGGGTCTACCTCTAATCCTCTTAACTCCTGTTTAGTTCTAATATGTCTCTGATTACCCTTCATGTCTGAGAAAGTGTCCTACTTCCAATTTCTTATTGACCTCCTCATTTCTAACTATCTCTGCCTTCCTATAACTCCAAAACGTTTCTAACTTTGTAATATCCATAACACACCTTTTATTTGAAAAACGCGTATTGGAAACTTTAGAAAGAAGTAATTTATTATTGTAAATATAAAAATTAGAATAAAATTGATTGGTAATGTTTCACCGCTTTTACATGGATTTTTAACAATTATTTTCTTTCTTATGCCATTTATTATTCATTTTAAATGTAGGGATACACTAAAATCTTTTTGGTATTTGGTATTTTTTATTTATCCTCAATCCTGAAATCATTACAAAATTAGTAATTCTTCTATGCTTCTTTAAAATGATATTAGGGGATATTTAAGGGTTGTGAAACCTTACTGTTTTTATTCTAATCTACGGTTCATCATGTTTCGCAGAGACCAAAGCATTTTATATTATAAATAATCGTTTTAATAGCTTCCTGTATAGTCCTGTGTTGGATCTTGTCAATTTTGGAACCCTATGGGCTTAGAATGCGACACTGCGTCATGTGCTATTATCATCCTTTACGGGCTAAAGAAAGAGCCGTCTGGCTCTTTAATCATATACTTAGTGCGCGAAGATCATTTCTGAAATTCGCGAGAAGGCAACTCAGAAGAAAAGTGATGGGCGACAAAAATTTAAGGAAACAATCATTCAAGCAATTTCTTGTATCTCGTTTAATGTACGTAAGATCTGTTTAATGTTGACACCGATGAGTACAAAAATACATATATACTTATCAATTTTTATAGAGATCGATGCCCTTTTATGAAAAACTTCCTGAAAATAAAAAACGTGGAATCGTGTCTATTGTGTGAGGAAATGCTCCAGTCTGAGCCATCAACAGCAGTTAAATGTCAAACCCCTGGATGTCCGGGAGTATACTGTCGGTTGTGTTATAACGATCTTAAAAATGTTTGTACAATATGCCAAGATCCAAGGGAATATGGAGACTACTCAGACATTGATGAAGAAAAGTACTTCACCTTTCAATATATCTTTATCTTTTGTTCGTAATCGTGACGATTATTTTTATTACAGAGACTCATCGGATGATAAAGCCTCAGCACCAACGAAAAAAACGAAACCAGAAGACAAAATTACAAAAAGAAGAAAAGACACCAAGGAAGGCTCAGAAAGCAGTACCAGTGGGTATTCTGATAGTTATCAAACCAGCGATAAAAAATCGACCCTCAACCTAACGGCACATTCCACACCTTCTGGCGATATAGAGAAACAGGACCTGCCAGCTTATGCTTCCATGCAAATTTTCCTTGATCCTGAATCAGGAGTAAGTGAATCAAAAGCAAGTCTCTCGAAATATTCAAAATCAAGCCGACGATCTCGAGGAAGAAAAAGATCACAAAAGAAATCTTCTGCTTCTAAATATTCAAAATCTTCCAAAAGGCGTTCGTCAAAAAATAGACGAAATAAAGGGAGAAGATCGAGGAACCCATCTGATGAAGATTCTCAAGATCTTCTGGAACTTGGTATGCATCCCTTGCGAGACAAAACGTATGAAAAAGAATCACAAATAGACAACCAAAAGCGTATAAAATTAACAAGAAATAAGCGAAAATCACGATCACCAGTAATTTCTAAAGAAACGGAACATTCCAGTTTTGCTATCGATACTGAAAACACCAGTGACGAATATCCGGATAAGTTGAAAATCACTTCTATAACTTTTGAAGACTCATCAGACTTGTCATTTCCGACGGATACTAGTATTATATCAGAACTGAAGCCCCTTAAAACCAAGAAATTTGCACGAAGAAAAAACAGAAAAAAGGATAAAATTCAGAGAAACACACTTTCTACATCCGAACAAAAAACAACAAAGAAATCGAGTAAAGCGTCCAAACCAATAAAAAACTCAAGCCGCATATTTAAAACCACTAAACCAAAGTCTTCAGAAACATACACATCGAACGAAAGCTCCACATCGAGTGATCGAACCAGTGAAAGTGAAAATGCTTCGGATTTGAAACAAAAATTAGTAGATAAATCGTCGGACTCAAGTTTAATAACAGAACTTCAACAGCGTAAGATATTTGCAAAAACGCGAAATAATATAACAACGGACACATCTTCTTCCGACGAAATGGTACATCCAAAGTCAAAATTCATAAAGTCACGAAAGAAGACAACAAGATCTAAATCAACTCAATTCTCAAATACCGTATCAGTTGGCACACGAACGTCAGTACTTAAACATGTAGGGCTTCATTCACCAACACCACTTATAAAACCACCTGCACCTCCCCCATTTTTACAATCATCTCCTGAATCGAAGGCTATGAATGAAGATAATGCACCACCAACAACGAAAACTTCAACAAAATCAGTTAACAAAACTAAAAGAGATGTCAAGGAACATTTACGAGGTGGCGAAGACATTCCAATGGAAAATATAAAAAAGTTCCTAACCGGGCCTAAAAGATTTAAGTTACCTGCACGTCAACCAATCAAGGTATTTTCACCTATGAAGTCGTTATCTGGTGTTATATCAGAACTGAAAAACGTTTTGGGCGAAGAAAGTTTAAGAGACAATAAATTAACTGATAATATAGAAACACTGCCCCTTCCTCCAATACCTACAACTTTAAGTATGAACCAAGAATCAATAGGAACTGTAGATTTAATTCCAGAGAAAATTGAAAGTAAAACACATAAAACCACAATAAATACAGACAATCGTCATTCGTCTCACAAAATAATTGCTGGTTCTTCGACGATTGCTCCAACAACAAATAGGATACAACATCAGCAACAGAATTTTTTTAGAATAGAGCGGGAAATTAACACACCAGTCCGTTCTCATGAAAATCGCAACATGCCAACAGTACGAGAAAGAGTAAGAGCTTACGAAGCAGCTTTTGGAACCGATCAATATTTAGATGACCACTCATCGACTGTCTCTGCAACAGACTTGATAAGAAATGAAGATTCTCAGTTTGATATCTACTTTACACCACAAAATAGAAATCCGTTTAGATTTAGAGAAACATCACAGTATCAAATTCCTCATCTTAATTTGATTTCTGATCGCGACGGAAACTATATCACGAGCAGAGCATCCCAGCGTACATCACCAGACAAAATTGTTGATCATTGCCACTGTCAGTGTGATCTTCCAAAGAGAGTCCGACATGAAATTTATAACGAAAAAAGCAAGTGTACACGTACAAGACCTCAAAAGCGCTAGAGAGAATCGTCCCCAATAAACATAATTATTATAAGCAAAAAGTGCCAAAATATTTCGAAATATTATATAGTTAAGTTGATCGTGTTTAATTTGTATACATTTTAATTGTGTTTTCTTAAATAAAATAATTCGAAGTGGTCTGTATTCTGTCAAAACTGCCAGACGCGGATCGCGATTTCGATCTTTTTGGATCTCATCAGCGCGTCGCAGGCAGCTCCGACAGAACACAGACCAACTTTTACCTGCTGTCTTAACAGCGCGTTTTAGAAAATACCACAAATGGCGCGGTAAACGCCATCTGTAGTACGATGCTACATTTTAGGATTACGTATGCTCCAACAAGGTCCATTTAAATATATGGATATCTACTTGCTGAAACGAATCCCGGCGTAGCTAACCTCAACGTGATAGGCACGTTACCATAATCGAATAAAATAATTCGAAGTGGTCTGTATTCTGTCGAAACTGCCAGACGCGGATCGCGATTTCGATCTTTTTGGATCTCATCAGTGTTTTCTTAAAGTTCCAAAGCAAGATTGGAACCTTCTGCAATATCCAACTCTGCTAAAATGACAAGCCTAACTTTTCAATTTCAAATTGGGCATGTCAGATTCTCAACCCTATCCATTTACGTCAAAATTTAGTTTTACTGTTGGCTGGCCATCCAAATTTATGAGGTTGTTACTTTATTTTGAATGGGAGGGATAATTGACAAGGTAGAACGACAAATTATTGGTAAAAAGAAACGAACAATCAGAAAGGTAACTCCAACTCACAGTGAAAGAACCGTTTCTATTGGAAACAGCTCCAGTGACAAAGAAGATATTGAAACTTTGGAAGCTGAATGTCAAACGTCGACACGCGAAAACAGTTACGTCAAAATTGAATTTAGTAAATCAAATGAGGACGTAACAAGTGAATCTGGAAACTGCAAAGAGAGTAAAATTCAAGATACTAAAGGCGATATTCAAGAAGCTGATATGAAATTGTCAAAATCATCCATTGATATTCACACAGAAGACAAATATTTATTACCATCATCTAGATATGTTCTTCTTGATGGAAATATACACGAACCTCCCGAAAGAGATAATGATCCTGGTTTACGGACAGGAAACAGTGAGAGTGAGTTTTGTTTCAAAAAACATTTGCATAGTGACACAAGACCGTCTTCCGTTCAACGAGGAAGAACCAATAAAGTCCTTTATCAAAATCATCAACGGTCTGGGCTATGGGAAAAACGCAACGACAACGATACAAAGTTGTACCGAAACAATAAATGTCGTTGCTGTTCTAACTACTATTGCAAAACCATTGTTGAAGATGGAGCACATAATAAAAGAAAAGAAACATGTTGTAATCCACGATTTATTTATTCTAAACAAGAACGTAATGATGTATCTGATTATGAAGATAATAATCCTTTATACGTGCAAAGTGAAAAATTAGGCAATTATAAAAATGTCAACGCAAAGTATTGTGAAAGACGTAGAAGAAGGGATTCTGATATTTTCTTAGATTTCAATTGTCAAAACTCGAAACAGTATAAAGATCTAATCGAGGAATTGGGCACTTCGATTGCGCAAAGGAATAAACAGAGGGTACAGAAGGCGCTACGGGAATTCGAAATACGTAGCAGAGAAAATCGAAATTTAGACGAACCAATCTTGTACAATGATTTGGATGATTCAAGTCATTCTTCATGTAACTGTAGCAGTAACCGTCGTTGTCATTACAGCAATAGAAGGAATTCAATGAATTTTGATTTCATTCATCAACCATCCATTTCCAACAATAGAATACGAAATGAAAAATTTAATACAATCCCAATGGAGAATAACTTCAAGTATGGGGGTTCAATCTGCACAAAAGCTCATAAGCAGAAATGCGCTTCTCATTGGGAATTGGATCCGAAAACAGGAACTTGGTATAAAGTGTGTAACTACCTTACTCCAAACAAGAACCGCATAGGTTTTTGCTCGTCTATAGAAAACCTACGAAGAATTAATTCTCAAACAAAATTAGAAAGTATATCTTCAGATACTAGAGGATCGTTTTCATTATATCATAAAACACGTCCATGTAGTCAACAATCAGCAATATGTAATAAATGTGGAAGTCATTTTAGAAGATTTTAATAAAATCAACAATATATACAAGATTAAAGTTTCATTGGTTGTCTCCACAACAGTTGTTTCAACAAGCATTAACATTTTCTATAACACTAATAGGGCCAGATGGAATATAAAATATATTTAAATGTGGTGAAACCTTTACGTCCTTTTAATACAATATTTCGAAGCACACAGATCTTGCCAAGTGTTGATCTGTCTCAAAATTGAAAGTGAAAACCACAAAGCAAATAAATGATTCATTTTATAAAGTAGGAAATCAAAACAAACTAAAAACTAATTAATAACAATTTGTTTTTCGCAAAATACCAAACAAATAAAATTGATTCTTGATAAATTAATGCTGTTGAATCATACTAGAACACAAAAGAAAAGACTAATTGACATTATTTTACTTTGTTAGGGTTTCCACATTTTTCGTTGAATCTTTACCAATTATAGCACACATTCGAATTCCTTTCCTTTCCTCAATTGCATACATATTCATAAGTTCGTATTTCTTCTACAATCAGCCTCAGCAAATGTCGCAAACAAACATTGTTTTGAAAGAGAGCAATTTACAGTATTATTTTTCTTGACCTCAGATAGTGCTTCAAGATCTGTCTTCTCGACGAATTCTAACCAGACTACAGAGAAAACGAACTGAAAACGTTCAAATCAAATTCTAATTAGAAAAGCGCTCTTCTTAAACCAGTTCTTCTAAAATGGAATCGTGTAAAGACATTAGTAAACAATGTGCTTTTGAAAATGTCAAAAATCAATCATTATATGATATGGACGAAATAAGTTTTTACAAAAAAATTAACAATCAAACCTTACCAACTATTACTAGCCTCAATGATTTAATAAGGGAATTGCAAAAAGTGTTTGAAAGTGATACTGTAAATATTGAGTACGTGTATTACTTGATGAGATCTTACAAATCAAACCCAACAGATTGGACAAAATTCGCAAAATTTGATCGGTACAGGTGAGCATTACTGAATATGGTCAAAACATAATTTTACACAACTGTTTCACGCAAATATAAAATCAAAACAAATTGCTAAAACTTATAAATTAAATTAAATTTTTTTTTCATCAAACACAAAGTAAAGATAAGAAATAAAAAATTATCTTTTTAATACATAATTTCACTAATGTTTTACTGTAACAATAAATTCTTATCATCCATCCTTTAAGTATTTACCTTTAAAATTAATTTTTAAAGACGTTACATATCAGCTAACTAATAAATCAATAAATTTTCCAGTAAATGATAAGAAGTTCTTTGACATTTTTTAATGTTTTAATAGTGGCTAATATTAATGTGAAAATTAATTTTCAATTTTTTATACACTATAAACTACCTCAGGTTAATGAGGGAAAATATTTTTTTGTTGCAAATGTCACACCCTTAAATAATAAGAAATTTTATCCATTCCACAACTAAATCAAAATTTATACTTGCAGCATCGATATTTTTATTTTGATTTTCCTCATGAAGGGAAATATTTAACATATCCATGTATTATACATCCTGTTTAAGAATAGTGATCAATAAAATTTTGAAAGCAAATTTCAATGAATAAAATATTTCTAGATATACTAGAAACTTGATCGACGTAGGAAACGGTAAATATAATTTAATGGTTCTTTGTTGGGGTGAAGGTCATGGTGCAGGCATTCATGATCATGCTGACTCTCACTGTTTCATGAAAACGTTGCACGGATCTCTCCAAGAAGTTCGATATTCGTGGCCGGAAGAAGTAGGCAAAGAACTGAATGAAATTTCAAGAAATAATTTAAGTTTAAACGACGTGTGCTACATTAACGGTAAGAAACATTTTCGTTTATACTAACAAATATTATACGATTATATATATTTTTTTATTATTCCTTACACTCAATTAATAACATATGAAAAATGCCACTATTTTAATCGATTTAATATCAATTGATGTAAGATGCAGTTAGAAGTCAAATAAGTTACTGGACTTCAAAATCCCCCTTCATTTTATCTATTACCTCTATATGTATAACAATTGGAATACCTTTTCTTCCCATTTTAGTCGACCTCTATAAGATTGATCAATTCCGAAAGAAAGAAACTAAGCAAAGCTGCAATGACTGTATTTGTTGCTACAATAAAAATGACTGTCTATATTTTAATAGATTATGCACTTTTTTGGACTCTGAAAATGATTCGGTACCACGCAAGATTTCAATCCAAAGTAAAAGGTAAACGATGACGTGCTTCTAATTTAATACTTTACATAATTAAGTACATCTGTAAAGTGAAGATGATAAATACAATGAGACTAATACTTGTTTGTACTTAAGCAGAAAACTTTGATCTAAATACTCATTTTCTTTTCCCTTTTTAGCCCCGAACATGCCAACGCTTCATGTTACTGGAAATGGATTCGTTGCAAAGTTACTGAGAAGTATAGTAACAGCGTTTCAGCCAATAGGATTACATATCGAAATAGATACAATACCATGTCTACCTGATCCAATCCCACCTGACTTTGATCGCTACATTCAAATAGGTTTATTCTTATTATGACCATCATCCATCATTTCTTCTAACTCACTGCTTCTTTATTAAAAGCTAGAGAAACCTACATTTCTAATTACATTCGAACAGTAATCTAATCTGGGTCTACCTCTAATCCTCTTAACTCCTGTTTAGTTCTAATATGTCTCTNAACAAATATATTTATTACATTTGAACAAATTATTACAATATTCTTCGCACTATCAAATCGTATGTATGCAATATACTTAAAATGTTTGTTTACTTTTCCAAGATATAGAACATTACAGAGGTGTTTAATTAAAATGTCTTGCATGTGGTGATAATGAACTTTTTTTATCGTCTGCATTACTAATTAGGTTAATATGTTATCAAATTATGAAGGAAAAATTAATTGAGTTATTTTTTTTTTTTGATAAGCATTGCAACATAAAAATTAGTTCTTCTTTTTCGTTAATACCTTTTTGTCTTTATTCGATGACGCGTTTCGGTGGCGTTAGTTCGTAATAATCAATACAAATTTCATCAACTTAGATCATTGTTTTTCTCTTGTTAAACAATAAACATCAGTCGAACTTCAAAACAAGACGTATAAATTATATAAAACCATATTGTTTAATAATAAACATTAACAATTGCATGATCAGTGACCACATAATATAAACCAAAAAAAAAAAAAATAATCTATTTTTAAATATATAGATTCCCTAGGACTTCACCGTGTGGAAAATCCTTCAAACGTGGAAACAGCCGTGAGTCTTCATTTGTATTGCCCCCCTTATGAACGATGTCAAGTCTTCAATCAATATTCAGGACAACGGTCTATTTGTAAGGTCACATTCTGGTCCATGTTCGGAGAAAAGAGAAAGCGAGTATGTGTTTCATTAATTACAAATATCTTAACTAAAACGTAGACCAGAAAAGGGGGCCAGGTCCGGTACCAAACGACGCAACGTTCGGGGTTCTCGGCTTTGCCGATAAAAGGGTTAAGATTTGGACAGGTGTTACGCTCCATATAAAAAATTTCATTAATTTCGCACAGAACTTTCACCCTTCCCTTTGGGCGCCCTTAACGAAAAAGTTACACCACTGATTCATAGAGTCTAAAAGCTTATACCGTTGATTATTGATAATTGCTCTCTAACTCATCGCGACTTGTACAGGCGTTAAATTAGGGATCAGAAAATATAAAAATCAAGTTTTTAAACTCTTACCTATATAATCGTAATGGTAGTTAATTTAATTAAGAGCTAAGGATTAACTAATCCTTCTTTTTTTATAATAGTTAAATAGGCTCCGGGTACTCAATCAATCGGAAATCGTTTCTAAATTCTATATAAGCAACACAAAATGTTATTTGCCGAAAAAAAAATGAAAAATAAATTTATTTTTATGCTAGTTATTGATAACAGATTTTAAACAATTTGCTTCATACTTTAACACCAATTCTGACTTTTTGTTTCTCAATATTTCTATCTGTAGCTTATATTAGTAAAAGTATTTTGATTACCAATTTTACGTTCTAAATGTTATTGCGCGTAATCGCAAATTTTTAGATACTTAGCCGAAATACATAAAAATAGTACAAACCGATTCGTTACTTTAGTAGTAACAATTATTTATTTTTAAATTCTTTAGTATTTAAAGAATTAACTAATACTTAATCGAAGTATCTAGCTAAAGAATTTAATTAAATATTAATCGTTTTACATTTCCTAACTTCCGTTGAACTTTTATACTCGACTTGCTATAAATTCATAAATCAGGAAACACTTGGAATTTGGGGTTTAAATCAGAATAAATGTGATGAAATAACGATATATTAACATGGTATACTATATTTTGCAGGAAATTCAAGATGAAAGAGAACCTGAAGACAATTAATATATGTTTTACCGAACAATCAACCAAAATTTGATAACTACTCCATAAGAGGCGCGTACCAGTCAATAAAATTATATTGAAGAATAAGTGCATTGATTTAGAATGTCATGTACAGGGCGTAGTTCATATGTAATAAAATTATTAAAATATATGTATTCTCCAGCATTAAAAATTTTTAGCGTTTTCACTTATTAGACGAGGAACGTTTATTTATTTTCCCCGTTTTACATCGAGATTTCCCCATAAAAATCATGTCAACTATTATTTTCTAATAAACAAAAAAACCTAATAATTACATATATTTTACAAAAATATGCTTCAGTGCAATTTGTAAAATATGAATAATAGTTAATCAAAAAGCCAATAACAAAATAAAAGAATAGGTAAAACAATCACTTCCATTGCTTCAAACTTATCTATGATTTCAAACGTCAATTAAAAAACAAAAACAAAGTCATATTTGCCCTGTAACCTATAAAATGTATTCAATAAGTTAATATATTTAGTATTGAAATGTAGTAAACAAACATTTTTATTTATTTGAATTATCCTTTTATTATGTATTTCATATTTTAGTAAATTTTTCAAAAGAAGCAATTTCACATTAAAGAAAACACCAAATTTAAAAAAAGATGTCTACAGAAAAGTTGTTTACCACTCAGATTAATGGAAATCCATCTAAATTAAAGATATGTTGGTGTGATAATTATTTTCAACTAACGATTCTTGAAGCAGATAGTGCCTGGACTGCTATGGTAATATTGTAACAGTGCAGTTCATTTTGACTACCAACTTATCAAATTACTATAAATTATTTCTTCACATCTCAGATGTATGTACATATTCATAATATTTTTTTACTTAAATAGATCCCAAAAGATAAGTTACCTGAAATTGCTATACAATTAGACCAAGATTGTGAATCTTACAATAAGGCTCTGTATTCATATTTATTTAATCCTGAAGATTCTACAAACATTTCATTTGCAGTACAGAATAAATCATTTATTATTCATAAACAGATTGAGGGTGGGTTTCGAGTAAAATTTTTTTATACTCCATTGGAAAAGGTAATTTCATTAACATCAAAATGTTTTAGTAAAGGTCAACATGGTATAATATATTTTAGAAGGAGTACCATAACTGTGCTGAAGAACTTCTTGATGAATTATTAACTAAAAACTCATTCTATGAAAATCAAATTTCTTCTTTGCAGCAACTTCTTGAAAAGGAAATTAAAGGTAACAAAAATTGCTTATACAAGGGCATTCTCCCGAAAATGAACGAATAACATTTGTTATGTGTATAAAATTACATTTTTTTAATGTAATAAAACTTTTTTCCAGAAAGAACTAGTATTTCTGAAAAATATGAGGAATTTCAAAAAGATATTGAAAATAAGGAAAAAACACTTTACAGCTCTTTTGTTCTTTTATTAAATGAGAAAAAGAAAAGAATTCAATATTTAACAGAATTATTGGACAGTAACAGAAACAGTGATTTATCGGTTAATGATAATAAAGTTGTAAGTAAAAAGGAAAAAGAAAATGAAGGTGATAGTGACCTAGGTGACAACGTTATAAGGAAAAAAAAGACTAATTCTAAAAAAGAAACTATTTCTGATTCAGAAAGTAATGATTCTGCCCAAAACTCCTCCAAGGAAAGTGCTTATGATACTGATGAAGAAAAAGATAACAAGATTAAATCACTACACAAATCCAGCAGCATTCATGAGCCAAGTTCATCTAAAAATGATGTGGTATCCCTTTTTCAGGATTACTCTCATACAGTTGTATTACCTCCAAAGAGAAGAAAAAATGGTAATGAAGACACAACTGATATTGAAGAACATAATTCATTTAAACTCAATGTGTATGATGCAAAAACTCAGCCGTTTGAAGTAAATCCTATTAAAGATGAAGAAGAGTCCCCAATTGAATTTGGTACACAAGATATATTGGACAGAATGTGATAAAAATAATGTTATTTGATATTTACTTTTACTTATTTCTTAATAAATTTAATTTTATATGTAATAATTATAATGTTTTTTTTGTGGATGAATTAGAGCGGATCATTTGTAAATCTTCATATCTGAGTATTTCTATTAATTTGTTTCTTCACAAAGATTATAGATAGTATATAGTTTGTAAATATTACCATAAAATTTATCTATGATGATAGATTATAGATATCTATGATGGATGTAATCTATAGCATAGATCAGATAGAAGTCAATGTCCTATAATTGTTTTAACTTTAGTTTTCACTAAAAAGGACAATCAAAAAGATATTTTCTTAGGAACAGGAGGATCTCGAGTTTCATAGATTGTTTTTTAAAATTAAAATGTATTCATCTGTTTTCAGTTTAATTTTTTAAAAAGTTAGGTTAAAACTGTAGGATATACCATATTTCTTTTATGTTTTTAAAGAATTATGACATCAATTATAAAATTACAAGCTCTTTCTGGAGCTCTAGATGAATCTCCACCTTGCTACCTTTTGCAAGTAGATGAAGTGCGAATTTTACTGGACTGCGGCTGGGATGAAAAGTTTGATTTCAATGTTATAAAGGAATTGAAGAGGTACATGAAAAGCTTTTAGAATTAGTTGTATTTGATACATTTGGTTGCAGACATGTTCATTCAATTGATGCAGTTCTTCTCTCATATCCTGATATAACCCACTTAGGAGCTTTACCATATCTAGTAGGAAAACTGGGTTTAAATTGTCCAATATATTCTACAATACCTGTGTACAAAATGGGCCAAATGTTTATGTATGATTTATATCAGTCTCATTATAATATGGAAAATTTTGAATTATTTACTCTAGATGATGTAGATGCTGCATTTGATAAAATAATTCAATTGAAGTATAATCAAAGTATAAGTCTCAAAGGTGGGTAACAAGTTAAGGAGTTGTGTAAAATTTTAAATAAAATATTTGTTTTCAGGTAAAGGCTATGGATTGACTGTGACCCCTTTACCTGCAGGCCATATGATTGGAGGTACAATTTGGAAAATTATGAAAGTAGGGGAAGAAGATATTATATATGCTAATGATTTTAATCATAAAAAGGAGAGACATTTAAATGGTTGTGAACTTGAGAAATTGCAAAGGCCTTCACTCTTGATCACTGATGCTTTTAATGCTACATATCAGCAAGCTAGAAGACGGGCTAGAGATGAAAAACTCATGAGTAAGGAAACAATTTTGTCTCATTCATTTCCTTATATATGTCTCTAAATTTCAATGAAATAATGTTTTAGCAAATATATTACAAACTCTTCGAAATAATGGCAATGTACTAGTTGCTGTTGACACAGCTGGTCGTGTTCTTGAACTGGCACATATGTTGGATCAATTGTGGAGAAATAAAGAGTCTGGTCTTTTAGCCTATTCCCTTGCCCTACTGAACAATGTTAGTTACAATGTAGTGGAATTTGCAAAGTCTCAGATTGAGTGGATGAGTGATAAGCTAATGAGAAGTTTTGAAGGTGCAAGAAATAATCCATTCCAATTTAAACACTTACAGTTATGTCATAGTATGCAAGAATTATCAAAAGTACCAAGTCCAAAGGTTGTCTTGGCAAGTATGCCCGATTTAGAATGTGGATTTTCTAGGGAATTGTTTCTGCAATGGTGTTCTTATCCAAATAACAGTGTTATTTTAACAAGCAGGTGTGCAATACTTTTTTGTTGTGGTTACTACATTTTTTTCATATACTTTTCAAATACAGGATACACAAGTAAATAATAAATTTTTAGAACTTCACCTGGGACTTTAGCAAGAGATTTAATAGAAAATGGGGGTAACCGAACTATTGATTTGATTATAAAAAGAAGGGTTAAATTGGAAGGTGCTGAATTAGAAGAATTTGAAAAAAATGAGAAATCAAAAAAGGAAACCGTAGACAAAGAGTAAAATTAAAACAAATTACTTTTTAAGTGCATTTTTTCGTTAATTGCATATTTCTTCTATAGAGACAACAGCAGTTCAGACTCTGATGACGATATTGAAGTGAGCGTAATATCAAGAGGCCGTCACGACATAGTTATTAAACAGGAAGGAAAAATTTCCAGTGGTTTTTTTAAAGCAACGAAGAAACAAGCTCCCATGTTTCCTTTCAAGGAAGAAAAAATAAAGTGCGACGATTATGGAGAGATTATTCGACCGGAAGATTATAAAATGGCAGACATTGCTCCTGAAGGAGAAGAAAATAAGGAAAACATTGTTTTAAAAAAAGAAGAAGAAGATTTTATAAGTAAGTCAAAACATTACTGTTAGTTGACTAATTAAATGATCAATTCGGGAAAACTTAGAGGAGCTGGTCAAAAACATGAAATATGAGTGATTTAGAACATAAATTGTTGAAACTAATAGAATGTTTGTTAATAAACCAGTCCTTGCAAAACACTATACATAACATTAAATTTAAACATTCATAAAATATTTTGTATTTTATTCAAAATAACATAAGACTTTAAATTAAATTGCGTCCCTTTTATTATTAATTCCCCATGTTATTCTATACTTTTTTAAAAAGTGGAAGTTCCCCCCAATATTTATTAACATCAATGTCACTATTTTTAACAGTTAATTATGAAATTTAAATTATTACAAGTAATTTTTTTTTCAGCTGATGTAACAGAACTTCCTACAAAATGTATTGTCTTAAATCGTACAGTTCAAGTAAATGCTCAAGTTCAGTTTATTGACTTTGAAGGCAGATCGGATGGAGAATCGTTATTAAAAATATTGTCCCAACTGAGGCCCAGAAGGGTAATAGTTGTCCGAGGATCCCCTGAAGACACAGCAACTATTCAGAATCATTGTCGAGAAAATGTGGGAGCCAGAGTGTTTTGTCCCATTAGGGGAGAAACGGTCGATGCTACAAGCGAAACGCACATTTACCAAGTAAGATTTCTTTTTTATACAATGCATGCAAGACAAATAAAAGGTTAAAAAATGCAAGGCTGTTGGTAATGTTTAATAAAATAATTAAACAGGTGCTAACTAAATTAAATACATTTATTCAAAAACCCTAAAACGTACTACTAAGATTGGTCTGCAAATAAGAGGAAATACGTGAATGATGATGATACTGACTGTCTTGCAAATAGTACAGTTGAAAAATTGGAATTTGGATTAATTTAAAAAGGGTCATATAGAAAAGATTTACACTGTTGTTACTTTAAATTATACAAGTAAAATAAATTTCGTGTAACTCCTTTTCGCTTTTTTCGATTTAGGTTCGTTTAACTGACGCGTTGGTTTCCCAGTTGAGGTTTCAAAAAGGAAAAGATGCAGAAGTGGCATGGGTGGATGCACAAGTTGTTGTGCGTGAAGGACAGACAGACGCCAAACGAATGAGTGCTGACGATGAGCCGATGGAAGGTAAAATAAAACATAATTTATAAATTTTCCTTGGTATGACATTATTTGAATTTGATTTTCTTTTCTGCGTGTAGTTGATGAAGATGAGACAAAAATACTAACTTTGGAACCATTATCTGGAAATGCTTCACCCCACGACACAGTATTTGTTAATGAGCTGAAATTATCCGAATTCAAGCAAGTTTTAGCGAAATCAAATATTACTTCTGAATTTTCAGGAGGCGTACTGTGGTGTTGCGGTGGTACAGTTGCATTGCGAAGGGTAAGGATAATGTAATATGTAAATATTTTGGGAATAAATTAGCTTCAGTAGTAAACCTATCTGCAGTTTGGGGATGACATTGTTCTTGTTGTTTAGCTACGGCCTCTTATTTTTCTTATATTTGTAACTAAATATTTAATTTTCGCTTTTCAGATTGAATCCGGAAAAATTATGATCGAAGGATGTCTATCAGAAGAGTATTACAAAGTACGAGATTTATTGTACCAACAATATGCTATTTTGTAAAAAGTATTTAGTTTCGGTGTTGTAAAGAAAGAACTATAGTATCTTATTTTATTTTTTCATATTTTTCTCATTTACAACCATAATGAATGTATGCAAGCAAGTATTACCAATAAATTAATAATTTAAGTGTACCCATATTTTGATGTTTAGTGCTTTTTTGCGTTTGTTGAACATTTTGTACCTACATTATTAGTTTTTTAACTTTTTTAAATTTTTGTGTAAACTGAAAATCCAACTGTTTTTAAAGTAATTTAATTCTTTTTTCAATAAGTCTGAATTAAGTAAATCAATTGTTTTTAACTTTCTATAATATTTTCATTGAATTTAAAAAATTGGAAATACCAACGTTTGCAAACGTAATTTTACTAAAGTCTCCTCAGCTTTTTATTAATAAATGTGTGTATATTTTTAAACTTATACCAAGCAAGTTTGTAAGCCATTCACTTAGCAGGTTCGCAAATTGTTTAATACTTATTTTGTTTATTTTTAAAATTAGTAATTTTCCGAAAATACGCATTTATAGTTTGAGAATGGTTCCTAGCTTGAATTGTTTTTAATAACAAACAAATTAGCTGATTCGAAAGAAAAATATATGTTTTATTACCACTTTTACTAGAGTCTAAAAGGAGCAGACCTTAGAATGATCTTATGCTTTATTTTATTTCAACATTAAACTTTTAATATTATATGTATATAAAAAAAATTATGAGTGCTGTCAACACAGGCAAAGTAGTATTACGTGAATGAAAATTAGTATCAGCAATTTCTAATGCTGAAGTGTGCTATGTGTTGCATTCTTATTTACAAACAATTCCTTCAAATTTTAATCATTGATTACTAAATATCCATTAAAAACCATAATGGCCGACATCAGTAAAAATGCGACAACAATTAAAAAGAATGATGGCCGACAACTGCAACAATTAGAAAAGAATGATGGCCGACAACTGCAACAATTAGAAAAAAATGATGGCCGACACTACGTCATAGTGGAGCAATAAAAATGGCCGGGGGTAGGGGGAAGACCTAGTTTTTATTATGAAATAAATAAATACATACACGTGGAAGTTAAAATACAATTAGGTGTTCGCGTTTCGAATTAACTTTACGATTGGTGTTGTCGGACATTATAAGTTGGCCACCCTGTATACATATAAGTAAGTAACATCTTAAGTTTGGTAGACGTTGTTATTAATTGTATTATTGTCTGAAACGCGGTGGCGGTGTGGTTTGACTTATACAACGATAATGAATCTGCTGTATAACAATAAAGAATTTACATAAATAAAAATGTTACAAGCATTTCGATAACGTGATGAATTTGCGTTTCCACAAAACAACTTGAGAACAATAACCAAACTGTAGCAAAGTTTTAAACGCTGTTGAACTGTTCAAGTTCGAGTCTAATCTTAGAGCAAAAACATGCTCGTCGAGCCAATCGGATCGTCATTTTCCCTTCCCGTTCCATTCATTCATGCGGCTATCTTGACTGAAACCGTTCGCTATCTCTGTTTACTGGTGTGCCGTAGATTCTGTTGATGTGCGTGTGTCAATCGTTTAAGAACTTTTTAAATATTTTCGTGTAAAAACAATCGTTTTCGGTGTAGTTTTCGCTTGGAAATTAAGCCCTTATCCTCCAGCTTAAGTTAAGGTAAGACTGAACGAAAATTACATTTTGTAAAGCCGAATATTTGTCAAGTTTGTCGTCTAAATGTAAATAACCCATTTTGCTAAGGCATTTTTGGCTATTTTTCGTTAGTGGTTGTCAACAAGAACTTCTTAGAAACAGGCAAATCGTAATCTGGACTAGAACACTGTTGTCGTATTTCGATTATAAAAGTGTAATAAGATTGAGTATCATTGTCAGCGATTTAGCAAAAAGAAAAACGCAAACAAGTGTTACAAAATCCGTCTAGTTCTCGCTATTAGCTTACATTTACATTAATTTGTATCTACACATTTGTGCAAACCCACAGTTAGTTGCAAACGAATCGATGAGCTATTTATGCAAAACACAATAATTCTACTGTTAATAGTAATAATCATTGCACGACAACGTTTCTCTTATCTGATGATAAGCGATAATGATGAGATGATAAATGTCTTTCGAATTCTTCATTTACTGGATTACTTATTGCTTTTTCTTATCTGACTTGAGTACTGATCTTGAGTAGGCACTTCATATCTTCTATCATACGTAGTAGGTACATTTGGAATAAGTAAATAAAGTAATTTTAGGATTTGATTTTATATTCCATAAAAGTGAAAAACAATTTCAGGAAACATCACGTAGGTACGAAAATTGTTTTGTAATTATTTAGAATTAGGGATCCAGCTCAAAATTGTTCCAAAAATTTTTTAATGCATTTAGGGACATTTTGGGGGTCCAAACATTACGTTTAAGCCGGGGTAGACACATTTTTTATTGTTATTTTTCATTTTTAATAATTGTTTATAAACATAATTTATTCTACTAAACAACGCAAACAACCCTAACTCATGTTAGGTTAGGTTAAGGTGGGTAACAATTCCCATTTAA